TAGGGGAAATTATTTCCAGTGTTCTATAGCACAGTGGGGTCCCTATTGTCTAAAATATTTATAATATTTTTCATTCTATTTAGAAGAGACTGAAGGTTCCCAGCACATAGAAATGAATAAATGTTTGAGGAAATGGGTACATTAGTTACTCTGATGTAATCACTACATATTGGAAACGTGTTTGGAATTATTGTACTATACCCCATAAATATGTACAAATATGTATCAAATAAAAGTACAAAGAAAGAGAGAACAGTCTGTTCATTTAATTCATGTAACTCACCAGCTTTTCCATCCTGCCAGCCCAAAACAAAAGTATAGATGATTTGGTTTAAATAATGTTTAAATTCCGTTCAGAGGGGGTAAATAACAGGTACACAATGGAAAAAGAAGGTGCAAAGAATTGTGAAGGTAAGGGACTTTGCCATTTGTGAAAGAGTCCTGGTAAAAATGACAAAGTTTGATATTTTAAGAAAATTCAAACAAATATTCTTTTAAACACTAAAGGCATCATCTATCAGGTCTCAGTGCATTAACACTTTTAGTTAAAGAAATGAGACTGTACTTCCAGTGTAAGATTTATGATCGTGAATGAGGCCCAGACATTTAATGTAGCACCAACTTTTTTTCCAAAAATAAAATAAACTAAAATAAAGTGACTAGGTTTATTTAAGGGAGGAAAGCAAAACAACACCATTATATTCTCATGAACTGGTTCACTTGTAGTGGGCTGTGTTGAACTTGTGATCTGACCACAGAACAGGCTCAACTCCTGCTGCTGCTGAGTTTGAGATCAGCCCTTCTGTCCAGAGAGAACTCCAGCCTTACTGAGCTTGGAGCTCCTAGCTAAGAGCAGACATGGACAGAAGAGATAAGGAGAAAACCTGCCCTCCCAGGAGGAAGAAAGTCACATGATTACGTAGACATAGGGAAAAAAAGTACACCATAATGAGCTATTTAAAGAGAGAGGTCCCAGGAAGCAATAAAACCCATGCATAAGATTGTATGTATTCTTAAAACCATTAAATGTGCATCTGCAATTCACTTTGAGGTGCCCAGCTTCAACAAACTCCCCAACCCATCTACTCTTTTGCCTGCTTTCTCATTTGTTTTCCTTGCCACCTTATGCCAAGATCACATAGCCTTGGCAAATTTGAGGCTGCTTGGTGGTTTTAGCTAGTAATTTGAAACAGTGTCAAATAAATAAAACCAGGTCCCCAGAGGAAGTTCTTATATACAGCTGAGAGTACATTTCTATTCCTACACGTCACATAGCTGTGAGGTCTGAATTAAAATGCAGATCAAACTCAGGCTTAAATTACTTCATTTCTCAATTCATTTGTACAGGCACCATAATCCTTTGTTTTCAGTAAGGAAAATAAATATTTGCATTAAAAGGAGCTCCCAGGCTAAGCAAATCAATCTCTGTGTAGTAAGCCCTGGCAAATTAGAAACTTCTGAGGCATAAAAGCTGTAGTCAGAACTGGTGGTAAAACATGAAAAGTGTACATTGATTTTGACCTATCCAGCGATTCAGACCTGGATTCTGTTTGGCTGAAACATTTACCGGAAGTCATAACTGAGCATAATTTTCTATGTACATAATAGGTACTTAAAACATAGCATGCTTCCTTTGTTTTTCCTCCTTCCCTCCCTTCCTTCCTTCCTTTCTTATTTTATTATTATTATTCTTTAGTTTTTGCTGGAGATGGAACCCAGGACTTCACACAGGCTAGGCAAGTTCTCTGTCACTGATCGACCCACCTATAGTCCTGTGCATTTTGTTAACATAATTGTATATCACAATCCTGCATTTTTGAAATTATTGAGGCATAGTCTCTACAGAAATTGAAATGATTTGCATACTAACGATTATAATCTTAGCATGTCAAAGGAAGTTAAACGAGTAGGTTGGCAATTGAAGAGCTATGATTTAGCAAAGAACAAAAGTCTATTTGATTCTATTTGTTCTTTGAGTTATCAGTATATGAACGTTATTATCTTAGTAACACTGTCAATCACGTAAGGAACTACAGGGTCATAGGTGCCATCAAACTTCTGTTTTTCTTGGTTTTGAGGTTATAGCCATAACAAAAAAGAAAAACCTGATGAGTAAAATCATACTGGCTAAAAAAGATCCAATAACATCCTGGGGATATGTGGAAGAAAAGAAAGGTAATTGTGCTATGAAAAAACACACAGAAGTGTAGTAGTTTACAAAACACCTTATTATCAAAGTATAATGCAATCTTACTATTGTTGAGTAACTTCCTTGATGAATCCATAAACATTTCCACAATTGCCTTCAAGGCTTAAACTGCTTCTCCCACATATATTAAGTCATATCCAAGTTATACTAGTGGTGGTGAAAATGTCCCCTTATCCTTCAAGAGGAAACATGCTTCAGTACTGCAGTAACAATTACACAGAGGGGGCAAGGTGGATAATAAGTGACCTACCACATTTCTACAGCAAAACTTAAGGGCCTTCTATCCCGTTCTTAGCAAAAATGTCAGAAGAGGACCTTTCCAAAACTACAAATCTATTTCTTCAGGAAAAATAAGTTTGAACAGTACTTAAGTACTAACAAGCTTAACCTTGTTCCTAATTGACTGAGATGTCCTTTCAGAAAGACAATATCCAAACAAGGCCCTTCCTTGGATTTAACATAGAAGAGGTATCTTTTCACAACAGCAAACACAACGTGTCACAGTCACCCTTCCAGATCTTGGAAGTGTCAGTAAACAAGGAAGAAGTCCAGTTTTTCTAAAGTTCCTAGAGTGGTAATATGAGCTAGAGTCTCTCTCCTTCCTGCTTTAGGTTTTAGGTCTCAAGCATGAATAATGGAAAGACAAGCAAACAGAAAGGGAAGGTAATTTTGAGGGAAAGGATATTTTGTTCAGGTAGTCTAGGACACCGAATACATACCCTCGGAAAGTGAAACCCTGGGTTTAAATATTTGTTCTATTGCTTCCCAGCTTTGAGACTTTGGCACAATCATATTACATACGTTCAGGAGCTGCTGGAGGATGACAGAAGCATGAGTTATGTTTTAAAAATAAAGCCCTGATATTGGGTAGCTGTTATTTTTAACCGATAGGAGCAGAGTGAAATGAATTGAAAATGATATGGTGAAAACCAGGCATCACCGCCATGTCAGAAGGAGACCACTTTATAGAATGCATCCTGCAGTAAGGCTGAAGAGGAAATGACAAGGTTACCTATTCCTGGAACACTTTCTGGAACCAAATTTTGGAAGTCATCTGAAAGCTGCTACTTATGTGGTGCTTCCCCAAAAGGAGTATAATCACAAATGAACAAGTGGGGCTAATTTTGTTTTTATCTGAAGATGTAGAAATGGAACAGTAAGCCAAAAATATGCCTGCTTTTCAAAATAATTTTACCCTACTTTGTCTTGATGAGTGCAAACATACAAAATATCATAAAATATACAAAGACGGTTCTGGTTCTTGCCTTTCTTTGGTAAGATTATGTAAGAATCTTACAAATACTACAAGTTCTCTTCCATAAAACGGGAGAACGCATGGATATACAATCAAACACACTGGTGCATGTGCTTACACACACCCACATGCACATAAATCTGTTTAGGTCCCAGAGTATTCCCTAATTCCACCCAAAGTCAATGACTTCAATTAGGAACTACTGAACTAAGGAGTAGGTATTTAGTGGATAGATGTAGCCTATGCACACGCATATGTATACACCCAGACACACACACACACACACACACACATATACATCCAAATATCAAATGTCTTTAAATAATTAAATCTTATACAGTAAAGTTTCCTTCTTAATGTGACATATGAGGATGTTAGTGATCAAATTATAAGACAGGGGTAAATTCATGTACTGTGCATTAAAGTGACACACACTCCTACAATGTTGTACGATCCACTACTTACCTGAAGCAGTTTTACAATTTTTATGCCTTTACAGGAAGATTCCATTTGATAACTGGCCTCAATGGGTATTATGCTAAATTTCTAGTGCATCTTGTGTGTTGGAAGAAATGTTGCCCTCCCATAAATTCATTTATCTTGTAATATAATCTTATAAAATGGAGCAACATTCCACAGTCACACGTGCCTTTTTCAGCCTGTGTCTATCTGCCCCAAGGGACATAACATTCCATCAAAGACAGAAATAATATGTCTTTGTAGTGGTTACCTTGGTCTCTGAGACAAACGGATTTTACCAAGAGCATATTTTACAGTGTGATAATAGCTTTGTAGGGATTATGCACAGAGAAGCACTTTAAAATTTACTAACAATAAAAAATACACATTTCGCACTTCAAATTGAGAAAGAAACACTTGATGGCAACACTCTCTACCATAGTTCTAGCTTATGAATTTTCATTTCATCCCCCCATGCTATTAAGGATAGAACCCAGGGCCTCAAACATGCTAGGTGTGTACTCTATGATACAGCTACACCCCAGCTAGGAATGTTAGTATTCTAATTGAGCGTTAGGAAAGAGAAATGAACTAGGAAAACAGTAAGGGATAAGAAAATTACACACTTCAGTGTTTAAATTGAGTTATGATATGATGTTTTAAAGTGCCCAGGGTAGTGATAAAAATAGATTCATATGCAAATATCACCATTGGGTAAAAATCATGAATTTCGATAAGTAAAGGCATAGAACAACCAAAGGTTTCATGTCCTTCATTCTTACTGCTAGTAGTTTTTGTGTGGATAAAATTACTTCAGTTTTGGATTATCTTTGTTTCTGAATTTAGAAGTGGAGGGCACCCACAGATAGTTAAATTCTGCCTTCAATAGTGAAGGTGTCAGCATTTTATTGCCATAGTCACCATTTCATTTTGTTTTCTATATCATTCCCTCAAAAACAGATCATTTCTCTTTCTCTTTTCCCTCTGATGTCTGGTTTTACATCTAGTCCCTGAAATAATAAACCTCTAACATTTTCAGGTGACTTGTTATATCTACATTTGGCAAGTTCTCTCTCCAGTCTGGTATCATGCTGCCTTCACCTGCCTGCTCCCATTCTTCTGGCGGCAATGTTAAGGCTCATGGTTGTGATACCATTGAATGTGGCTTATATGGAAACTGCCTTGGAGAGGCTGGAGAAATCTCAGGGAACTTCTTCAGGCCCACAGCGGGAGATGGAACCTTCTAAACAAAGACGCTGAAGAGAGGGAATTCAGCTTGGCTGGGCTGCAGCAGATCGATCAGAAAGCACACTGTCCCAGAGAAGCCTTCATACAAGCTGTATATACTTTCAAGAACCCGAGAACCAGACTTGAATTCCTCTGTAAATAAGAACTGAGCAAACCTAAGAGAAAAAGAAAATAAAAATAGTGTTAAGATGAGTATTTCCATATTATTGCCGTGTGTTGCTTCTTTCTCTTCTTCTGCTAAATTAAAAATTTAGCATATTTGCTTCTCACAATTATGTAATTATTTTGAGAAAGCCTAGTTCACTGAGTAAAACAAGAGGGAACCATTTCACAGTTGTGAAGGTTTCACTACAAATTATGTTGGCAAGCAAATCCAACTATTTTCTAAGCTTGCAAAGCAAAGCACTTTGGCATTTTCTGAGGGTTTCATTCCCTCTATCATCTAATAATTAAAAGAGAAGAAGGTAGATTCTTGAATAGAAACAAAGTGATGTCAGTGTCACTTCAAAAAAAGAATAAATAATGTGTGTCTTTGCAGGCATATTATTTCTGAGCTAGGTTCCATTTACATGTGGCAGAGAGGAGAGACTTGGAAAATAAATGTGCAAGATCTTATACAATCTTAGCTTTGTGCAAACAAAAGAATAAGATAAATGTGTAGAGGCAATGGACTTTTGTAATGATGACATCAAGTAGTAAACTCAGCTACAAGACATTATTTTTAAGACATCCACCTAAAAATATCGGTGGCCTCTAAATTCTCTGTGAAAGAGCCTTTCATCTCTTACCTACTTTTGCCACAGATACTATTCAGATTATTCATAACAAGTAACATTTTTATAGTTGTTTGTACTTTTCAGAGTGCTGTTACCTATGTTATTTTTTTACTTGCTGTATTCATTCTCATCAAGAACAAAAATAATCACCAGCTCAAAGGCTGGATGGAGCGTACAGCTTGGTAAGACCTGAAAACTGACACTTTTGGAAGTTTACACTATTGCTACTACACAGGGGGTCCTATGAAGCATAATTACTTTTTCTTTTCTTAAGGCTCTTTAAATTAGGTGATGATGAAAGCTTGGGATAAATTAGCAGGCAAAAGATTGCAATTCTGTTTGGTACAATTATTCCATCAAATGGTTTCTTGATCATGCAACAATTTAAAATGGAATTTTACTTTTAAACAGAATAATAAAGCATCTTCAAATTAATTCAGAACTTTAACCATTTAATGAAATCAGCATTATGGTATAACTTGAGGGGGATTTTTGCTCTTTTGTTGCAACAGATCATTTGGCAGTCTCCTTCTCAAAAAAAGTTTTCAAATGCATGAAATAAAATATAAAGATATCCACAGGAAATTTATTATATTAAGGCATAGTTAGTAAAAAAAAATTATTTTGGTACTAAGATTGAACTCACCACGTCCCACCCAGCTCTTGATGTTCCCTGGGAAAAACTGCAAGGGGATGAAGAAATACAGACAAGAGAGGAAAGCTGGGGTCAAGCAGAGGTCTCTCTCCTGATGGGAGAAGGAACTACCCAAGAACTATAGAATGTTTATTTATACACTCAGGAAGTTGATGTCAATTTAGCCTCTCTGCCTAGAAACCAGTTTGCAAGTTGCAACAGCTTGTTTAGATGGCTAGAGGAGCTCACAGTGTTGTCCCGCTGGCTTTGTCTTAGCCCTTCATGTGTGCTTGTTTTCCAGCTTCTGTTCCTCCCTACAGAATCCAAGGCGTTTGCATGCTGAGCACATTCTCTGCCTCTAAGCTACATCTTTAACCTCAGTTAACAATTGTAAGCCAAAATATGTGACATAATAGCGTGTGTATCCTTCATTAATGCATTAAATAACACTGGGAATGAGAAGACATACAACCATAGATATTGGAAATTCAAAATATTACAAAACTATATTATTGGAGCTCTATGTCAAAAATTTAAAAATCCAATGAACAAGGTGGTTTTATAGAAATACATTCAATACTGAAAAGAAAAGGTGGAAAACTACAATAATTTAATAATCATAGAAGAAAATGAAAAAGTTGTCAAACATTTTCTGTAGCACAAAATTCCAACTGGCAATTAAAAGAGTAATAGGTAATAAAGTAATGATTATTCTAAGAAGGTACAAATTTTTACAGTACTGTTTCAGGAGCTGCCGAAATTAGGGAAGCTTCATCAATTTTGGCCATATCATTTTAACTTTGAATTATAATTAAGTGAAAACTTCAGTAGTCTATGTAATAAAGTACAATGCCCAAACAATGCTCATATATTACTTGCACATTTTCAGTCTCATACATATTAGTGAGAAATTTAAATTTTCTGAAGAGCCCTGGACCTCACAGTTATATGAACCAAATTTTGTAAGCTAGAACTGGGATCTGCCTGCCAGAAAAAAGGGGGGGTGGTTGTGATCCAATTTTTATTTTTTTTTTATTTTTTTTTATTTTTTATTTTTTTTGGTTTTTCTCCGGTACCGGGAACCAAACTCATGACCTTGTGCTTGCCAGGCAGGTGCTTTTGCCGCTGAGCTAAATCCCCAGCCCCAAAATTTTTTTTTTTTTTTTTTTGGTTTTTCTCCGGTACCGGGAACTGAACTCACGACCTTGCGCTTGCCAGGCAGGCGCTTTTGCCGCTGAGCTAAATCCCCAGCCCCCAATTTTTAAAATTAAGTTTATTGTTACTTTTTAGGTGTACACAATGATTATATTCATTATAGGAAATTTGTACCTGTACATGATATAATTTGATTCTTTTTTTCCCCCATTCCCTTACACTCCCTTCAACCCTTCTTTGACTTCCTATTCAGAAAAGCTTTGGTTCCATTTTTTCCTTTTTTCTCATCATTTTTTTTCTTTTCCCTTTCTTGCTTCCCTCCTAGTTCCCCTTCCCCATTCGACATTTTCTTCCTATTTCACAACACGTATTGTACATTTTGGTCCTTATTTACACTTTAAGTTTCTCACACCACAGAAACAATATGATATTTACACATGTGTGTCTGACTTATTTCACTTGAGAGCGTGGTCTCAAGGTGCATCCATTTCACTTGAAATATCTCCAGCTTACACTCCCTTATGACACAATAGTACTCCACTGTATAAAAAATTCCTAATTTTTCTTTATCCAATCATCAAATGAAGGGTATTTGGGCTGTTTCCAAGATTTGGCTATTACATGCATATATCACTATAATATGATGCTTTTAATTCTTTTGGGAAGATGGCCAGAAGGGGAATACCTGGGTCAAATGGCACCTTTGTTTTTAGGTTTTCTTTGTCCTTTTGGTTTTTACTTTTTATTTAACACATATTTGTGGTACATAATAATTACATTCCTCATGGGGATTTGGTATATGTACATAGCACATCTTTATTCTTTTCTCACCCCCCTATCCCTTGGTTCACTTCTCTTTTGCAAAAGACCTATCTCTTATTTCCTATTACCTATCTTTTTTTGCTTGTTATTTATATTTTGGATCTCTCATATAAGAGAAACTATGTGATACTTAAGGTCATGTGTCAGGTTGTATTTCACTTAACATTATGGTGTCAAGGTACATTCAATTTTCCTACAAATGTCTCAAATGTATCCTTCTTTATGGAAGAGTAATACACCATTGTGTATAATCCATTCATCTGTTTTTGGACATGTAGATCACTTAGCTATTATGAGATGTGCTGCTATAAAAATAGGTATGCATGTGTCACTGTAATATGTCTTTAACTCTTCCAGAAAGATATCTGGAAAAGGAATAGTTAAGTCAAATGGAATTTCTAATTTCAGTTTAAAATTCCTCATGGAAAATTGAAGCTCAAAACAGTATGTATAGTTACACAGAGATAATAGGAACCTATTAACATACACATAAAGGTGATGATTGTAGTTCAGTGATAGAGCAAGTGCTTACTTACATGCATGAGGACCTAGGTTCACTCTCCAAAATAAAAAAATTTACCTGCACACACAGAGCCCTCACCCACACACAAATACACGTTTATGCACAGAGAAAAGGATGGAAAGATTGAAGTCAAGCTTAGATGTAGTAATAACAATGTAGACATACTCAGCAACCTTTTCTTTGACTAAGGTGCCAAACACATTCACTGGAAGAAAGATAGCCTCTTTAATAAATGGTGCTGGAAAAACTGGCTCTGCACATGCCAAAGATTAAAATTGGACCCATATCTTTCACCAAGCACTAAACTAAATTTGAGAAGATCAAAGATCTGAATATTGCTACAGAAACATGAAGCCTTCTGGAAGACAGAATAGGTAGAATTCTTGAAGACACTGGTGTAAGCAGACTTTATGAATAAAACCCCTATAGCACAGGAACATCACAAAGAATAAACAACTGGGATCTCATCTTACAAAAAAATCTTTTGCACAGGAAGAGAAACCACCAACAGAGTGAGGAGATTACCCACAATGTGGGAAAAATGTTTGCCAGCTGTTCCTCAAAGAGTTACTATCAAGAACATATAAAGAACTGAAAAAAATCAGACCTCCCAAATTTAAAGACCCAGTCCAAAAATGGGCATCTGAGATGAATACACACTTCTCAGAGGAAGAAATACAAACAGCAAATAAATATATGAAAAAATTTTCAACATCACTGGTCATTTGAATGATGGAAATTAAAACAACACTGAGATTCCATCTCACCCCCAAAAGCATACCTATTATCAAGAAATCAGCCAATAACAAATACTGGAGGGGCTGTGAGGAAAAAGGAATCCTTCTCCACGGTTGGTGGGAGTGTAGACTGGTGCAACCACTTGGAATCAGTGTAGAGATTCCTCGAATAACTAGAATTAGAGGTCCCATTTGACTCAACTATTCCCCTTCTGGGTATCTTCCTACAAGAATGAAAAACATTGCACAACAGCAATATACGTGCACCCATGTTTATAGCAGCACGATTTATAATAGCGAGATCTTAGAAACAACCCAAATGCCCATCAACTGAGGAATAGATAAAAAGATGTGTTCTTTTTATACAGTGGAGTACTACTCAGCCATGAAAAATGATAAACTAGAGACTTTTATAGGGATGCAACTACAGACTATACTCGTAAGTGAAATAAATCAGACTCACATGTGTAATTCCCATGTAGTCTCCCTAGTGTGAGAAGTTGAAAGAGTAAATAAGATCCAAACTGTACAATAGACATTTGTAAAGTGGGAAGAAATTTCAAAAGGAGTGAGAAACAGAGATGGGGGAATGGTAAAAAGAAGAAAATGAAAAGCAATACATATATCATAGTTAACGTAGTTATACTACTAATTTCTCTTAGTTTATTGAAAAGAAAGGTTTGTATTAATATTGTTTGGACAATTAAATGCTGATATCTTGTACTGTAAGTAACTAATTTAAAGATAACAATATGCATGTATTAACCATTGTTACCCTCCTATTACCTTGTTTTGAAATTTTGTGTTTTTTTCTCTTTAAAATAAAAAATAAGAATAACAACAGCAGTGTACACCTATATTGCAATTACTATGTGTCTGACATCTTAAAAATGATTTTCATATGTTAACTCATTTAAAATCCCCAATACCCTTGTGAAGTATGCACTGCTTTCCATATGTTATGGATGAGAAAGTTGAGGCACAGACTAGGTTAAGTGACTAGCCAAAGGTCACATTACCAGTATAATAACCAACAAATATATCCCTTCAGTTGGAATGATCTCAACAGCACAGGGGCTATTCTTGTGCCTTCACCAAATGACAGCTCAGATACAAGGAAATCAGAGCACATGATTGTGGGGAAAGGGCTTCTGGCTTAGAGAACCTAAGTGTCACACAGAGAACCAGTACCTCGTGTAACAATTTACTGACATAGACTGCTTCCAAGGCCCTCAAAGGGAATGCCAATTTCAGGCTAGTCAGCACGGAAGGAAGCTTCCACTTCGGCATTCTACCAGATTATTGGAAGTTCAATTATGCTTTTCTTGGTCCAGTTTACTCAGTTTACCTGTAAGAAGTTATTTCTATTCAAAGGAATGTTGTCTGTTATATAGCTGATGTTCCATCTTTATTATTTCCAGGGAATAAGCTACAGAGGGCAATTTAGCATTACCTGTCAAAATTACAAATACACATATTCTTTGGTCCAACAGTTTCAGTTCTGGGTATTTACCTTTTCTTTTTTTTTATTTTGTAAGATAGGTTCTTGCTGTGTGTAGTTCAGGTTGGCCTTGTCGCACAGGGTGGCCTCAAACTTGCAGTGATCCTCCTACCTCAGCCTCCGAAGTGCTCAGATTACCAGCATGAACCACAGTGCCCGGATGAATTTACCTTTTAGATATACCCATATATGTGCAAAATTATACCTGTATAAGGCTATTCATCATACTATTATTTGTAGTGCAAATATTGGCAATTATCAAATAAAATATTTTTATTATAATAAAAACATTTAACAAAAACATTGAAGAAGTCCTTTCTGCACCAACTTAGGGTTATTAAAAAGATAATAAGTTGCTACCATTTGTATATTAAAATTATATACAGGGGCTGGGGATTTAGCTCAGTGGCAAAAGTGCCTGCTTGGCAAGCCCAAGGTCGTGAGTTCGGTTCCCGGTACCGGAGAAAAAACAAAACCAAAAAAAAAAAACAAAAAAATTATATACATATTCCGATTTGCTTTATGTACACAGAATATCCTTAGGAAGATAATCAAAAAAAGAATGGTCACAGTGTTTCCAACCAACCCAATTAAATACCTAGTGGGTACTGTTGATGAATTTCTCTTTGTTTTTGTTTTTGTTTTTTTTCTGGTACCAGAAATCGAACTCACGACCTTGCACTTGCCAGGCAGGCGGTGTGCCGCTGAGCTAAATCCCCTGCCCGATGAATTTCTTTTTGTATTTATTGACCATGTGATTGTTTTACCTATATAGAAAATTAATTAGATTAAAAATTTTTAAAAATATATGAGAAGAATGGCTGACCTTTGGGCACGGTAAATATATTTCGAGTTTCCAGTAAGTCGATAAAGCAGCAGGAAAACATAGGCACTGCCAGCTACCCCGTGGCAAATCCCTGGCCCCTTCTTTAGCAGGCCCTTCTGCCACGTGAGCTCCCCACACCGGATGCATGTGTCCAGGTACTGTGGTTTCTTCGAAACCAGATAAGCTTTGGCAAACAGATAGGCAATTCCTGTGAAAACATCAGATATTAGAGGTGACTTTCATGCCTGAAATTATAAAAGTTTCAGAAATCACCTCACAGAATCTAATATAGCAGTTCTGAAATGGGGACAAAGAATCTCTCTCTTTCTCTCTCCCTCTCCCTCTCTCTTTCTCTCCCTCTTTTCCTCCCTCTCCCTTCCCCCCCTTCCCTTCTTCCCTTCCTTCTCTCCCTCCGTCCTTCCCCTCTTTCCCTCTCCTTATTTCTCTCTCTCTCTCTCTCTCTCTCTCTCTCTCTCTCTCTCTCTCTCTCTCTCTCTATCTCTCTTCCCTACTCCTTGTTCTGGGGATGGAACCCAGAACCCAAGGCCTCTGGCATGCTAGACCAGCACTCTATCACTGAGTTACATCAGAGCAAGATACCACATTTCTACCAAGTACCCTCACAGGGGACCACATTTTGAGTAGCAAGAATGTTCTACAACGTTGTGTTTCCCTTATGGAATATAGTTTAAGGTGTTTTAATTGTGTTGGGGGGTTGACCGTTAGAGAAAAGGCAACACTTTAATTGAAGTACATTAATTGATAAAAATCTATAACTTAATTTACAAATGGGTTAATATTTAGCACTCATGTACTCTGGCTATTTGGAAAGGTTTATAGAATTTGCTCATCCTGCCACAGAAGTTCAAAACATGTAACATTTAAGTACTTATAACAATACATTTTCTTAAGAGAAAACCTGGGAGTCTCTCCAAGAACAACACTGGTCCCAAATGACCTCACCAAGACTTCTACAGGTATTCCAGCTGTGGAGCCCTTCCAGCTTCATTGTTCAAAGGAAACAAATGTTCCTTCAAAACTTGTCAACAGAGTAATATCAATTACAAAGGTAGGAACAGAAACAATAGCTATGATCTTTCCCAAATTCCAAGTTCCAAGTGCTTTCTGTTCAGAGAGGAGTTTAGTCACACAATCCCATTTTCCCTAGTGCATAGCCCACCCTTTTCCCTAAAGAAGAAGTGAGAAAGGGCTGAAGAACAGGTCAGTGGTAAAGCACTTGCCCAGCTTGTGTCAAGCCCCTGGATTCCATCCCCAGTACTACCGAAATTACATTAAAAAGTAGTACATGGGCATTTAAAAGGAAGACACGCGGTATGTGTCTTGACTAGTTCATGCACCAGCCTCATCCCTGCCTGTCATTGCTTTGACCAGGCAGTTTTACAATTATGTAGATATAGAAATTACCTTGTAGAAAGCTGATGGTAATGTAAATAATTCCTGTCCCTAGAAGCTCACATTCTGTCTGGCAGAAGTCAACTTGACTTTTCCTTCTCTGTGGGAGAAACCAGTTTTGCATCCACAAAGCTAATTCATTTCTTTGTTCCTAAAGACCTTTAAATATGCCTGCTCTTTGGATGTTCTTTTAAAACCACTTGCAGCACCTTTCTGGCTCTCTCATTAATTAGTGAGCTAAGAAAAATGTTCGATATACACCCTTTTATATTTGTATTAGAACCACAATTTTGACATCATTCTCCTAAAATGTGTCATTTAATGCTGTGATTAACCCTTGCACAGCAAGGTCTCAGTGCTCAGGCAATGCTATCCAATCAACTAATATTGACATGGTTTACAGCATTGTTTTCCTTTAGTTTTAAAACGAGAATCTTAACAAACTAAAGGATGATGTTAAAAGAATCGAAGTTAATTAATTATACATTCATTGATTAAGTGCATCCATTTATTTGACAGTGGCCCTTTATTATTGCAATGTATTGCTTTGTGCAAGGCCAGCTTCCTGGGCCTGTCATGCGTGCAGTGTTTGGGTGTGCCCACTGTCCACACCCCTTAAAGTGGCCCATGCTGGGTCTCACATGCTGCTACTACCATCTTGAAATACTTAATAGTTTTTCTAAAAGGGGCACTACATTTTCATTTTGCACTAAGTTCCTTAAATTATGTTGCAGGTCTTGGCCTTGGGTGATATAAAATAAAGGCTGACGATGACTTCTGCCCTTTAAGAAGCACTGTCTAAATAAAGGAGATAAAAATATGTGCATGCTGCTTCTGGGACATAAAATTCATTCAAAGTTGTCAATGATACTAGATGGGTAAGAAAAACGGAAGCTCCCCAGGGAAGATAGTCTGGGGAGGCCACATATGTAAGACTTTTTCAGGGCTTTTTAGGATACAGAGGAAACTCCAGGCCCAAGGTGAAGCATGGAGGGCATTCTTGGCATCAAGATCACAAAGGCAAAGGTTTAGAAGCAGGAAGAATGAGTTATAGGAGGGCCTAAGGGGCAGTGTGCTAACCAGTAAGCCACTGGGGTAGAAGGTAGTTAGGTTCTGATTATGGATGGCTTTACATGTCCATTTAGGCAGCTTGAATTGCATACTGTGGGCAACAAGGGACCACTGGAATTGTTTTTGTTGTGAATTGCTTGGCATTTTTACATAACAGTGCGATCGTTCTTATATATACAACATTGCACAGTGCTGTCAGGAGACCTAAAGAAGGATAATAGGATGGCTCTGAGTTTACTATATTGACAGAAAGATGGAAATGAAGTGAATAAAAGAGTAGTGTTACAGAATTTAGTGGCTATTTGGATATTAATTGAGTACTCTATGACAAACACAGGTCTTCTGAAGCCCCAATTTTTATGGCATTTACAATTTAACTGGAGGTGTTAACTAGGGTTTGTGTGGAGCAATGGAGGCGTCCTGGGAATGCACAGGAACGCTCCTAACCCACAGTTCGTGGTAGGAAGGGTTTACTAGAAAGTAATGCTTCCTGAAGAGGAACTAGCCAGGTCTACTGTGTGCTATTTGTGTCCTTCCTGGATCCCCTTTAGCTTGCCAGCACTTGGCCCATCTTCCCATTCTGTGAGAGGTGAGAGCTGGCCATTAACAATATTTAGGGCAGTTTACAGCTCCTTATTCCTTGACAAATTTTTTTGTTTGTCTGTTTGTTTGTTTTTCTGGACAGATTTGCCCACAGTCATATGGAAGGTTATATTATGCACCCATCCTTCAGCAGATTTCAACCATATAAAAGTACAGAAGTGCAGCTCCCTTGCCTCGAGACAGAACTAGATTTTCTGATTTAATCTGTGCCTCTTAGATGTGCCTTACAGTCAGGGTATGTGAAGCCACTTTCCGGGTGAGCCATACTTTAGCTTTTCCGTTTGCTGGATCCTCTTTCCTTGCTGCCCGATAGGTTCCTCCTAACAGCAGGCTCTGCTTCTAGGCATCCAGAGAAGAGTATGATGTGGAAGGAGGTGTTCTTTTAGCCAAGGGAAAGCTAAATAGTTCTTACTACCTAGGTACCTTGGCATGCTACAACTTCTGCTCTTATCTCTCTTCCTTAATCCTCTTCTGGAAGCTTTTCACCTTAGTAAAGCCAAACTACCTGCAATGCTTCCATGCTTCTGAATGTCCATGCTATTCACACTTCTTAGAATAAACTTCCTATTTTTCTTTACCAATCAACTTTCCCCAGGCATCATCTCCTCCCGAAGGCCTCTCCTAAACCTGAAAGCAGCACCAGGAATCCCTCCTCTGGGCTCTTACAGTTCCCTATAAAAACTTTAGCACCTGTACAGAGTTAGATTAAAATGATCAGTTTCCATGTCTGCCTTTCCTAGTATAGTGTACATGACCCAAGGACAGGAACTGTATCTTACTCATTTTTGCCTGTTGCCTGATGTTTAGCCCATGACCAGGGTGCCAAAAATGTCCCTGCAGTGCCTCATTTCACACCCCCCACAGGCCAATGTTGGGATGCAAATGAGAGATGTGGACTGAAGAAGGGCTGAAATTGTCTAGTTGCTATACAAGGCCATTAGCCTCAGACACTTTAAAATATATTGGTCCTGTGGTTCTGGCCAGAGTGAAAGGGCCTTCTCCTGCAGCCTAGATCACAGAATGTTATGTAGAAGGGACCTTGAAAAACTTCTAAAGTGGTGGCTCCTAACCTAACTATAGAATCCACAATAAACCTGCTTAACCTAAAATGAAACAATGTTGGGTCTTTGGTTTTGATGTAAACCATATTATTTCTTCATGGGAAAACTAATTAGAGTGCAGTGAAAAATAAAACTCAAGCCAAGCAACAATGTATATCTTTGCCAAATAGGACAGGGTAAAGGAATTAAGTATTACTTAATAAAAATGTCTAGAGGCTAAATCTTCGAAAACATGGGATCTAGCAGAAACTCGCGACAGCTAGACTCCGCATATAGTTTCAAGATACTGGAGAATTACCACTCAGGCCCAGTCTGGGATATGTAATTCTGCTGAGGCACTACAAAGTTTAATACCCAACTTATGCTTCAAAAGCTTTGTTCTTTATTCAAAGTCACTTATCCAAGAGCCTTGGTGAAACGAGTCTTAAGGAGCGCTCACACCTGTGTCTCACACAGAGCACGGGAAATGCAATGTCAATGCTACCATAGTAATGATGTAACTTGATGCAGTTGGCAGTTTACTTTAGACACAGCATTTGTTTTAATGATTTCGCAAATGACTTTTGTCCTGTATTTCATGGTAATCAAGGCTATAAAGGGGTCATATGAATCTTCCTGCAATATTTCATTGCATCAAGTGAGAAAAAGCTGTACGTCACAGTAGATATTCATAAATATTGGTCTTTGCAAGGCCTCTGGGGCATATCCCTCAGGAATGGCAAGGATCAAAGCAGAAAAGAAGACTCTTGTGATTAAAAAAGATTGAGTTTTTATCTATTTCAAAGTGCTCATTTCATAGATGAAACAGTGACTTTTCTAACGGTGACTTAGACTGTTAGTGTTGCAGCTATGATTAGACTCCAAAGTTACCAACCTATAGTAGAGAATTATTTCTACAGTGTAAATATGACAATGAGAGCTGTCATCTGTAGAGGAAAGATGAAGGAAAGTCAATAGGAAACAAGGGAAAAGATAAGATACCGGTAATGATGTTCTCTATTGTGGATAATCTCTGGCAGAGATTTAATCACAGGGTTGGTCTGCCACCCCTCACCATCTGTGCTGTTTATAAATCCACTCCTAATTTTTTTTCCTCAAACAAATGCAGTTACTTTTCTAGATCATTTCTTGTTGTAGAATTTTTTAGAACTGAAGTTTTTCCTGCTTCACTAAGATTGCAATCAATTTTGACTTGCATTTCTCAGAGTTTTTGAAAAAAAATTGTTTATTTATTTATTTATGATGCTGGGGACTGAACCCAGGGCTTTGTGCATGCAAAACAAAAGCTCTATCACTGAGCCACATCCTCAGTTCCCTGGTGCTGTTTTAAAAGCATCTCTTAAAAGGAGGACAAGCACCCTTGAGATGTGGCTGGGGGGTTGGCAGAAATTACAGGCTCCACTTAGTTTTTTATTCATTTGAGAATTGGTTTATTTTTTGCAGTCCAGGGAGTGTATAGATTGAATGATTTTTCTTTGGAACTTATGTTTAATCTTCTCAAGATAATTAATGTGAATAATAAATGAAGCTATATCATGTCCCCAATGTGATAAATTCTATTCTGCACTGTTAGGGTAGATGGTTTGCAGAGACAGATAGTATTTGGTGTATAGAAATGATAGATGCCCTTCAAGACACCTACATCAATTAACTGCCTCACTCACTCATTTTAGTAGATTATCTTTCTAGTCTATTAAGGGATTTTACTAGCACATTGAGTGCTTTTAAACTATTCTGTATTTAATTTGGGACATCTCCAAAATTCAAGGATCCTGGGATGTTTGGAGGATATCCAGACAGATCATCATTGAGAATGATGAAAGGGAATGGAAAATGGATATGTTGAGCATAACAAGAAGAAATGTAATTTGCAGGATGGTAAATAGCTGCTGTGTTTTATTTCCAAGGAGGTCAAAGGAGAAAGAATGAGCACAAATTATACCTGGCAGAAGTTAGGGTGGACAAAATGTACAATGTCCTAATACAAGTACACAATCTGAAGGTTTTTTTTTTCCCATGGGTAAAGGTGGCAGGCAGAAAAAAATATGACAATACACTATGACTTACATTATTCTTTAAGTTAAACTATACCAAGGAAAAAGTGGAATTATAGTTGGATTAAAGAACATTCCTTAAATGGGGGAGGTAGTAAAAAATCTGATGACAGAGACAGCTAATACAGTCTAAAGCTGTGCTCTTGTGATTGAAGCATATCTTGAAAATTAAATCAACTCATAATACAAAAAATTATGTTATTTTGGTTTTTCAATCTCTCTCCTGGCAAATTAATCAAAATTAATTGATTTATTTGAATTTAACTTCTTTCAAATTGCCTCTTCTTCAAATGCCTAATTAGTAGTGTAATGGGATTTTAAAAACAAAGGGTGGCAGTTCACCAGGGATTGCTTCCCAGTTCTCTACACCTTTATTAAGTATTATAGTAAATCCTCATTTGAAAAAGAATTTTAAAATTGTGCATCCTAAACTTAAAGGTGTATACAAATTACCTAAGATTACTGCTAAAAATGCAGATTCTGATACAGTAGGTTTGAAGTGGGGTCAAAGAGTCTGGATTTTTAACAGGCTCTCAGTTATCCTTGCTACTAGATCAAGTCCCATAATAAGAGTTGGCAGGCTCCAGATCCGCACTACTCAATTTAGCTATTCATCTTTTGAAATGTGGCTAGTTCGACAAGTGATGTAAGTGTGAAATAGACAATGGACTTTAAATATTCAATATTTTTAAAAGTGTGAACTACCTCAATTTTTAAATTGATTAATATCAAAATATTATGGTATATTTGTTCTGTAAGAAATACTATTAAATTTATTTCACCCATCTCTTTTCTTTGTCCGTGGGTACTTGGTGCTCTGGATTGAATCCAGAGCCTCTGGCAGGCTAAGCATGCACTCTAGTACTGAGCTACACTCCTTACCCCTAAAAATTTAAATTACATATATGGGTTTTATTTCTGTTGGTCAGTGCTAGTTTAATGTTATGTATAAAAAGACATAGATCATATATTTTTAAAATACAGAATTATTTCCAGAAGTCCTTTACAGATCAAGATATTTCTAACTTTCAAAAATTTCATCCTGTTTTTTTTTTTTTTTTTTTTGTAGTTCCAGGGATGGAACCCAGGGCCTCAAGCAAGCTAGGCAAGTGGGATACTGTTCCACCACACCCCCCCCTTATCTTGGCCTTTTAATCTTATATAGCAGTGACCTAAAATGAGAAATCTTTTACTTCACATCTCAGAAAAGAAACCTCCTTTTAGCTAAGCTATATGACAGGCTGTGCTTTCAGATAACAGTGCGTTCAAGACCTGGAGCACCATGGCACCAGTGGACCAATTCATTCTCTCTCTCAATGGTCTCCCCGAGCTCAGGTGGCCAGTTGCAATTCTGTTCCTGTTCCATGAGGAAGTCCACACTCTGCCACACCAGTTCACGATCCGCAGGCTTGAGGTGCTCATGGTAAGAAAGAAGCATCTGGAGAATGGATGACAGGCCATGAGCTGCCCCTATACGGACAAACAAAGTATGATTCATTCACAAAGTAGGGACTAGAGCCACTTGATTTAGTGAAAAGATAATCACAAGATAAAAAATAGCAATACTACTTGAGAACAAAGAGTACCGTAACAACGGAGCTGCTGAAGAACTAGGTTGCTGGCAAACTGTGGCCTGCAGGCCAAATGGAGCCCACTGCCTGTTTTGTGAATAAAGTTTTATTGGAACATAGCCACGTTCATTTATTGTCTATGGCTGATTTAGTGTTGTGACAGTTTAATAGTTGTATTTGTGACAGAGACCATATGGCCCACAGAACCTAAACTGTTTACTGTCAAACTGCTCTGGGAAAAAGTCTGTTGACAACCACTACTTTACTGAAGAAGAGCTTTTTAAAAACTTTAGTAAGCATATCAATACCTTTTATGAAAATGTTCCTAAAGTACTTGAAAATAATTTGGCCTAGGTATCTTAAACATTCATTCATTCTTTCAACACAGAAATATTAAGCTCTGCTATGGACTCAGATTCTGTCGTAGGTGCTGAGGATAGGTCAGTGAATAAAACAGAATAAATCCTTCTGCAAACATTAATAAGTAGCACTAATTTACTTAATTTTTCACATTTAACAGCTGTGAATTGTGCATGTCTTGACCCAGGCATACACAGATGGATCTGAATTTGTCCATATCCTTGAAGACTTTCCCATCTAGTTCAATGAGAGAGCCAGATTTGTAAATAACTAGAACGTGAGGTGCTAAGTGCTCTATGCTGGGTTTGTGCCAGGACAGTGTTAATTAATTTTATGTGGCAATTTAACTGAGCCACATGTTGCCAAGATATTTGGCTAAATATTATATCTACATGTGTCTGTGAGAGCTATTTCTGGATGAAAATACCATTTGAATCTGTAGACTCAGTAAAGCAAATTGCCTTCTCCAATGTGGTAGACCTTATCCAACTCACTGAATGCTGGCATGGAACAAAAAGGCTACGAAAGAATTCTCCAACTTGGACATCACCCTTCTATTCCCTTTGGACTTGGACTTGCATTACATCTTACAACGTCTGCTTTGCTGGTTCTGACTTTTCAGCCCCCATGAATGTTTGAGCCAATTCTTTACCATATATTATTTATTATAAGGAATTGGTTCAAGCAATATATAAAATGCATTTCTCTTGAGAACTTGGACTAATACAAGAGGTTAAGAGAGAACCAAGGAAGAAGAGCTTAACTTGGCTTCAGGGATGGAAGGGGCGCTGAAGGTTCCATGGAATTGGTGTTCTCTGAACAAACAGCTGTAGCAGAGTACCGAATTATCAAAGGCCCAAGCCTCAGCCTGTCTTCAGAAAAGGAATTGGCTTAACGAAGGGAAAAAGCATCCCAGTCCCTGAGCAATTTTCACTCACTCCCTATTAGTAGTCTTAATTAGTTGTACTGGGGTTAACACATCCCAAGGGTTATTTCTTCAAACTCAGCTCTCTACTTTTAAAGCTTTTTTCTTTATGTTTAAGCAGTTTTTACTTCGCTATACTTGAAACACTTGATTCCCCAGAAACAGACTTAGAGTTGTATTTACTTAAAATGGTAATGGTTTTAAAATTTGGTCATGAAATATCGAAGTACTTTTTTCTTCTGGATTTGCAGTTATTAGAAAAAAGCTCACTTTTTTAGGAAAATGTTTATGCATTTGATAGAAATTTGGTTTCTGTGTGATTAGCCAGAATGTTTACTTCTCTTTTAAAAAAAGTTCAAAAATGAGACTAGCTCCCTATGCTCAGAGGACCAGAGCAGCTATTGCTAGTGGCCTGGCACATTCTCCACTTGAATGCCTTCACCCTCCCCATTTCCTTCCTCAAGCTCCTATTATTCTGACTGAGGCTTTGTCAGGCCACAAGAGTGTACCCAAAGAACAGAGACAGAGCAGAAAAACTAGCACCTGTGAAGGATCTGATCAATAAAGCAGGGAGCTGGTGGATGAATGTTTGAATTTCCTTCACAACTTCAGTGAGACAACTGAGGCATGTTCTATACAGTCTCTGACAGCCCCCAAAGGAACTGAGCCTCAGTTGCCCTCAGTTGCTCACCATTACAAACTGAATTAGCTTCTGCTTTCTTCCTTGTTTCATTTCCGCACTCCTCTATCAAGGCTTTCTGAGACTGCCCACTGAATGAAACTTTCACTCTTAAATCCTTGTCTCAGGGCCTGATTCCAGGGAAACTTAAACAGGAACTTAACAATTCTTTGAGAAATTTCTCAGTAATATTGTTAAGCAGCTATTAATTAATACATTTGAGTACCTTCATTATGTGTACACTCTGTAGCTAAGGTCTTTGTATCACAAAGACAAAGGAGACTACAGTAAGTCTCCATCCTTAAGGTACACAAAGAGCACTAAGGTGGTTTGGCAGGTAAGCCACTAATACTTATGGTGAAGGCACCAAAAAAAGTGCAGGCAGGGTACCATGATGTCAAACCAATTTTCTTAGGAAAAACCTGAAGCATGTAAATGTTTCTCCAGAGAGTTCAACAATACTTTTAAGGAAGAGAAAGTATCTTGGCAGATCTTTTGATGTTGGTGCAAAGTCTTGCATTCTGGGTATTACAGGTAAATGAAGGATATGGGGAAGTGAAATATTCTAGGCAAAAGAAATAAGCACAAAGGAATGAAGATATGAGAACATTTTGTGTGTAGGAGACTATGCTGAAAGAACCTGGAGTGGGAAAATAAAGTTTGAGTCTGGAAAAGAGGCAGGTAATCTAAAAAGGACCTTGCAAATCTTGCTCAGGAGTCAAAAGGGGAGTAAGTACTTTACTCCTTACCTGGCACTAAGTTCAAAATTGGTCCATGGGATTTAGTAATCTGTTATTAATCCACTACAGTTAAAAGTTTTAAAATGTTAGTGGCTGAATCCCGTTTCCCTAAGCAGAAGAACTACTTGCAATCACTGTAAAAAATATGAACAATCTTTCAGGAAAATGGAACCAGATGTGGTGGCATAGGCCTGTAGTTCCAACTACTGGAAAGGCTGAGGCAGAAAGGTCACTTCAGCCTAGAAGTTCAAGGCCAACCTGGGCAACACGGAGATCCTTCATCTCAAAAAAGAAAGAAAAAGCTAGACATGGTGGCCCACACCTATAATCCCAGCTCTCGAGAGAGGCTGAGGCAGGAGGATCATTGTGAGTTCAAGGCCAGCCAGGGCTACAAAGTGAGCTCAAGGCCAGCCTGAACTGCATAGTGAGACCCTGTCTTAAAAAGACAAAACAAATTAAATAAACAAAAAGAAAGGAGGGAAGGAAAGAAAGAAGGAAAAAGAAAATGAAAATTAGGCCAATAGGCTTCCTATCCAGAATAAGGATTTTAGTCTTTATTGAAAGTAATTGTTAATGCAGCTACATCTCTGTCAGATCTCTCTCAGGCAGATGAAAACAAATATTAAATTATTAATTGCCACAGCTATCATTTTTTGAATGACATTTTAAAGTATTTCTTGGTAATGAATCACCTATGTCAAAAAAAAAAGGTTCCACTCACTCTTTTGTTGTTAATAATGGAGTCTCCCTCTATTCTACAGGCCTGTGAACAACTCCACTTACCTAAGTATTCAGTTCCATAGTAAGAGTACATCAGGGGGAATGGTTTCCTTTTCTTCATGGCATACTGCTTCCCAGAGTCCAGGATTGCCTGGCAAATTGACTTAATCTGTACTGGAGTCAGCACCTGATATAGGAAATCAAGAAACAGAAGTCAAAGCAAAATCCTTCTTTCCCTGCTATGTATTAGATTTTTTTGTTTTTTTGGCTTAAAGTGTCTATCAGCATATCCCCAGGTTTCCCTCCTATATGTAAATAAGCTCAACCGACCACAATTTAGTTTTACACTGATTTTCCCTTTGATATCACATTTATCTATCCTCCTCCAAAAATTCATTGTTTTGATGGAAAACACACACTTTTACCATTGTAGGCTGTTATAAAATGCAAAGACCATTTTATGTCTTTTATATCATTAAGCCTCATCACAGGAACAAGAATGCATTCAGAAAAGAGCAAAGGGTAGTGTAAACGGATCATACTTAACCAAGTTGTTACTCCTGGTATATGGTACCATGTAGATCTGGCCCAAAACAGCAAATCTTCAATTTGTGACATTTAGACTATGCTTATAAAGCCATGATCCTTTAACAAACTGCTATATAACACACTCACTGCAGCCATTTGCATTCTCTAAGTAAAGCCACAGTAAAATAGTACGAAGTAAAACAACTTCCAACATCAAAATGACTCTGAATAAAGAATAGCTAAAATGTAAGGACTTGCGGGCAATCTATCTACAATCAAGTTTAAGACTATAGAGATTAAAATGTTTTCAAGCCTTCAACACATTATAGAATTCATTAAGATTCTTCTCAGGTTTGCACTGAGTTCTGTCCTGCCCTTCCCTGGAGGCAGGCTGGGTAGTTCCTTTGGCATGCTCCCTATATCACCAGGCCTCTTGCTCTGGTGAAGAATTTACTACCTATGGTGGTGAGTCTCTCTCACTAGACTATCAGTTCTCTGAGAGCAAAACTGTACCATCTCATCACTTTTGTACCTCTGGTGCCTAACATAAGTTGAGTGGGGGAGGGAGCGTTGGTAACTGATGAGTAAGTAAATTAAATGTTAGGTTAACTGGTATAAAAAAGAGAAAAGTTCATGCCTTCTTTCTTTTTCTTCTTCTCTCTTTCTGAGTCTTTCCCTTCCTCCTATGATTATTTCTTAAGCCTCTATTCCAGTGAAGCCTTTTCTAGATGCTGGTGATATGTCAGTGAATATGATAGATATGACCTCTGCTCTCATGAAACCAACCTTCCAAAAAGTGAGACTTGCACAGAAAAAATACTGGTCAGATTAACCAGGATGCCTAAAGTTCATCTTCCTTGATGGAATGAATCTGAGAAAAATATAAGTCCATTAGAGATTGGCCTGTCTTCTAAGACTCACATATTTCATTTTCCTACTTGATACCTGGCATTAGACCCTCCAGGGTATTTTTTTGAAATAAGGTCCTAATGATGTAAGTATTAAGTTGCTCCTCCGATTTACCCAATATTAAAAGGGTAAAATGTAATTCAGGTTTGTTTTCCACAAATTTAGCCCTTATTTTTGGAAAAATAATTACTTAATGAAGAAATTTTATGAATTAATTCTGCCAATGAACATTTATTAGAGAATTATTCTAGTGAGACCTGGCAGTGGGTATTGGGGGGAAATTCTAGAAAGTATAGGGCAGATTTTTCCCTATAGGGAATCTACCGTCTGGTGATGGAGATGAGATACAGACAAAAGTCGGCAATAGAGCAATTAAAGTTCATGAACCTAGGGATGTACACAGGCAGTAATGTAACATGTATAAGGAAGGGCCATTGGGCTTCACTAAAGTTAAACTTCCTCCTCAGGGTTCATCTGTTCTGAAACAAGCATGTTCTACTGGCTTTTCTCTTAAATTTCCGTTTTATTAGCTGCTTATCTCTGTCTCTTCCGTTCAAGCTGCCTTTCTGCCTACAGCTCCTGAAGACCTTATCTTTCTATGCATCTTCACTGGCAGGCAAGTCAGCCCAAGGTCTTTCTTTAGCCTAACAGCAAGTTTCTCCTAAATGATTTTCTACTCTGCACCCATTCAAATTCCTACCATATTTTTTATTTGCTGTTGAAAACATTTACTCTCTGCACCATTATCGCAATCCTAATCTTATATTCAGTCTACTTGAAATCTTGCAACATTAATCTCAAATCAACCCCTCCAACCTGGCTCTCACTCAGAGAGTTGCTAAGAGCCTTAAAAGGCATTCACTTAATAGGATTCTATCCTTTTCCTTCCCATATTTTTCCTGGGAGACTATCTTGCTGTTAGACTGTATGCAGGGCCTGTTGTCTATATAATGATTTTAATCACTATGACAGAAGCAGTTTTTGCAGTAGGAAATGGTCCCTGAATTTTCAGAGATGTACTATTTGAATAACTAAAATTTTCCTATTTAATTTTCATTGCCCTAACTGAAAATTGATTTCTTCTTTTCTCGGTTGAACATTTATTCATGTTTTTTGTGTTAATATGTGTTTGCCTCCTTGTTTTGAATCCAGAAAAAAAAAAAAAACAACGTGCTATATGTGGTGCTCTCCCCCGTTCTTTCCATCCCTAATCCACAGCTCCCAATAGGGGATGAATTTATAAAATATTATTTCAAAACCTCCTCTGGTCATGCATCCTATCTGGGTGGTTTCCTCTTATCTCTCAGAAACACTGTGAAAAACAAAGAGAAACCGGCGCTTGTTTGGCTGGATAGAGACCAGTTATGCATGCGAGTTTTTTTATCTCTGAGAACAGACAAGACCTACCCATGACTTTATTGATCAGCAAATAAGAACTGAAAATAGTGCTCATTAAAAGTCTGTGTGAGAGAAACACTGAGAAAATAATGTGCCCTACCACCCTCCTCCCTCATGGACAAACAGTACAGAAAAAAACGAAGGGGGAGAAGACTGGCGTTAGTGGTTAGATCTTATTCTTATTTGTCTGGTTTCTCAAACGTCCCTCCATCTCCTGTTCTGAGCACACAGAAACTTGAGAATGAGTACACCGACTCCCTCCAAGAAGGTGCCCTCTGTACTTTCTCTGAGGACCCAGGAATGACAGAGCAGCATTGCAAGTAGAGGCCAAAGGTGACTGCAGATGGCAGACAGGAGCTCCATGCCCATTAGGTTTTTGCCAAAACAAGCCTAAATTCCCTTTCCTGTATTTGTAGCACTGAAGTCCCATGCATGTGTTAATATTTTAAATAGATTAACTTTTTAAAATGTTTTTTTCCTACATTGAATGAAAATAAAGCTACCTCAAAAGAAAAAGCAAGCATGAGGGGTTCATTTGAAACGTTTCACTAATTTAACAGATTTCCTTCACTGATCCTGTGAAATATTCCTGTTGGGCTGGCCTCTGAGTATGAAGAGACAAGAGAGCAATAAAACACATGCTAGGATTCTTGCCCCTGCCTGAAAGTCGTACTATGACTGAACCATATCCATGCAGAGGAGTGCATGGATCTGAACAATTTGAAATGCTTATTCCTCAAAAAACCAAACAAACAATTAAGCTGTCAGCAATCACAGTTGATGCTGAAAGCAGGTCAGAGGGTAGAGCTGGGCCCATGTGCAAACTGAAATTTGGTGGGAGTAAGCAGATGCTGTGAGGGAGAATGATAGAATAAACTACCCTACAGCATGCAGGAAAAAGAGCGGCACATACACTAAGAGAAACTGATAGTGAAAGTAATGCAGAGAAAGGTGGCCTAGTGCTTATACCTCCCTTAGTTCCAAAGAGTTTACTACTACTTCCTTTAGTCCTTCGGACTAAGTTTCTATGCAAGGCACAAACCCATCCTTCTCTCTCTTCCCTTTACTTACACTATTTGAGAAAGTATCGGCGTTTTTTTTTTTATGTTTATTTGTTTTGTTATGCAAAAAGAGCCAATAAGAACAAGCACTGACTTAAAGTCAATCCTTTTATTTTTCATTCCTCCTGTCTTCACACAAACACATTTACCTATCATGCTAGATCCTTTTAACCAAAATAAGATATCTGCACCTAAGGTACGTAATAGGGACCCATCTGAGTCTGGAATTGCATGTCCTCATACTTCTGTCAAAAGTCCATTTGAGACTTCTGAGATGTGAGAATCGTGTGCTGCTAAAAATTTGGTCTCTGTACTAGCAGCCTGAGTATTACCTAGGAGCCTGGCAGAAATGCACATCCCCAGGGCCTAGCCCAGACCCTCTGAATCAGAAACTAGGTTTCACAAGATCATTAGGTGGTGTGCATATATATATATATATATTAAAGTTTGAGGAGCACTGGCTTAAAAAAAATTATCCATTAATTCTTAAAATCCCCCAATTATTAGGTTAGGTCCCAATAACGTCGTGTATCTGGATTGCATAAATCCAACTTTTCATTTTTTTTCAACTATGACTTTGTTTTCTTTTTGTTTCTTCTTTTTAGAAAAAACCAGTTTTTTAGAAAAAGTCTCTCCAAATTGTCCAGGCTGGCCTTGAACCTGAGATTATCCTACTTCAACCTCTCAAGTAACTGGGATTGCAGGCACGCATCGGCACACTGGACTCATAGCCTTGGTTTCTGTGTGAAGGAAAGGTTGACAGAAGAAACAGAAAGATTTTGCAAAAGTGCTACTGAAGACATTTCTCATAGTTTCTAATACCTCTCCACAAAGGCTCAAGTGACAAGCTCCTCTCTTAGCTCATATAACAAATTGAAAAGCTTTGTTTCATCGTAAAGGAACAAGCAAACGTTTCATATTAGGCATGAAGGACAAGAAGCAGAGTTAATTAATGCAGTGATTTACTTTACTCTAGAGGTTTTGCTATTAACATTTTCCTTCTTAAGACTTAATCATTGGCTGAATGGTTCGTGGTTTCATTGTAGTTATATTGTAATCCACCCCAATTATTATTTTTTGCAAGTAGGTACATGTAATCAGCTTTCTGTTGCCAGGACACAATACCTAACATACACAATTTAAAGAAGAAAGGGCTTATTTTGGCCCATGGTTTCAGAGCTTTCAGACTACCCATAGTGCACTGTCTTAAAGCAGAAACATGGGAGAGGAACATGGCAGAGGAAAGGCATTTACATCATGGTGGCCAGAAGGCACGGGAGAGGGAAAGAGT